TAAAATAGATATGAAATTCAAAAAGACAATATGACAATTGCAACTGGATTTAGAGTTAGTCAAGTAATTTAGGTAGATAATATTACAAATGAGAGTTGAACAGAAACGTTTATAAAGAGGATCATCCTTACAATGCAAATCCATTTCGTAAAAGTTAACAAAACCACTTACGTTGATAAGAGCGTTGCAATCACCTTGATCTGGAGGTAGTGCCACCAACACTTAAGGTTTCCTACCGGTTACCCTCTTAAGGGTAGACTCTTTTTGTTAACGCGTTCCCGAGTCGACTGTCCGCGATTAGACCATCGATCTCGTTCACGCGCTAAACTTATTGATGAATGAGTGATTATTTGTTTATGGTTCAACATGGGTCATTCGCTGTTTCTAGATGTTTATTAGATTTAGCTGATTTAGTGAAAACTGATAAAATTTCCGATATTAACTAGGTTAGAAACCTTCTTTCTTTTTCGCTTCTATAATTTTCACTGTAACTAGAACTACCGAACTTGCGTTAATTTCTATTTGTACATAGATAATTCTTTTTCCTTTACTGTTTCGTTGCTGCAGAATGCCAATGCGCTTATTTTGCAAGTAAACGAATTCGATATGTGTTTTATAAATTTTGAAAGAGTTGTGTAAGAAAAATTTAAGATAATGAAAAGTAAAGTATATTTTAAGAGAAGTATTTTAAATCACAAACTGCTGAACAACGCAAGGAACAATATATGAAATCCCATTATATTCTTTTCTTACATTCGTTACTCATGCTTTACATGTACACTTTTGTCTAAGATAAGCCACGTGTTATTTTATTGTTTAGGCTAGCCTTCGTTATCGGTTTCACATCAGACCGCCGCCGACCACGTTACCGCTCCTACATTCGGCCTTCCTGTTTAAGCCCTGCCCCCAGGGCCTGAAGAGCCTGATTCTGCATCTGAAAGTACATATGTTCTTTACTAATAAGTCAAACCTTTGCTCGGAGCTGTGGGCCCTGAATTTATTAAAGTTCCATTGTTTGGGCCAACCTCCTAAGTCCCTGAGAACTCCTTGTTTTGGGTCTTCGCCCTAAGTTCCTCAGAACTCCTTGTTTGGGCCTTCGCCCTAAGTTCCTGAGAACTCCTTGTTTGAGCCTTCACCCTAAGTTCCCGAGAACTCCTTATTTGGGCCTTCGCCCTATGTTCCTGAGAACTCCTTGTTTGGGCCTTCACCCTAAGTTCCTAATTACTCAGACCCACCTTTAAACACGATCCAGGGCTTAATTTTATCGACAGCCATTACGGTTTTGTATCGCTTCATTCCTTCTCTCATGTCTTCTACTTCGTAGCAGTCGTTTCTCAGAACTTGTGTAACCTGAAGGGCCCCTTATGCTTTGCTAGTAGCTTTTTACTACCCCCTGTTGCTGGCGCTTCGGTCCGCAGTGTCATTACAATGTCGCCTACCTTGTATCTTTTTGCAGCTTTGCGAGTTCGATTAAATTTTTCCTTCTGGATCTTTTGATCTGCTGTTATCTTATTTTGAGCTTTAGTTCTTATCTCCTGTAAGTTAAGCCGTTCCAAGTTCTCTTGAACAGCACTTAGAAGAGATGCCTCTGCAATGCTACGTGCCTTGTAGCCTGCCAGTAACTCAAGTGGACTAAGTCCCGTGGTTTATTTGTGGTACAATTTATCGCCCCTTGAACCTGTTTCACGCAAGTGTCCCACTTATTTTCGGGACTACTCAAAGCTGTGGTTGCCAATGCATGCAAAACAGTGCGATTCACCCTTTCACATTGACCATTCGCCCTGGGTGTCGCCACTGCATTTAGTACATGTCTGATTCCGTATGTCTTACAAAATGTCTCAAACGTCTTAGCCGTAAATGCTGTGCCACGATCTGTTATAAGTCGTTGTGGTGCTCCAAATAAATGCATCAAGTCTATAAATACCTTGATGACCCTTTTGGCTGATGTATCTTTCACCGGTTCAATGACTACAAACTTGGTGAAGCCATCGACGATAACAAGTATGTACTTGTTTCCTTTTATGCTGGTTTGGAACGGTCCCACGTGATCGGCATGTAGGGTATGAAAAGAAATGGGAGCTTTCTCAATAGGATACATTTCTCCTTCTTTTTTTCCAGTGGTCGGTTTATAATAATTACAGGACAAAGAGGATCTGATATATCGTTCCACAAAACGACGCATTCCGGGAAACCAATAGTTATCTGAAATGCGCGAAAGCGTCTTTTCTGTTCCAAAGTGTCCAGATTCGTCATGGCAGAGTCGACAAACACGCTAACTTTCCGTTTTTTTGTTTCTTGTACACATTGTCGTCCTTAAGAGCGTAATTTTCAAAATAATCTTTCATCTCCCCGTTCTTTATCATGGTTTCCAAGATTTGTTTGATTCGTCGTACTTCATCGTCTTGATTCTGAACGGCCACAATCCAGTCAGCTTCAGTTACTTTGACAGAACAAACTTCGGGTGTATCAATGAGGCGGCTCAATGCATCCACATGACGCATTCGATTACTGGCACGATATTCGACTTCGGACTTGAAATCTTGCACCTGTAACCACCATCTAGCCTCTCTGGTAATTAGGTCTTTCTTTACAAATGTAGTTCTTAAAGCGTTACAGTCAGTGATGACCTTAAAATTGATACCAATCAAATAGACCCTGATTCTTCTTCTTCTTGAACTGTATTAGGACGCCACCAACTCCCATTGAGCCTGGCGTCTGTGTGTAGTTCTGTGGGTAGTTCGGGATCGAAAATTGCCAATAAAGGTTTTGTCGTCAATATCTGTTTGACCTTTCCAACGGCGTTAGATTGCTCCTCACCTCAATGCCATGGGACATTTTTCTTTAGTAGGCGCGTTAATGGTTCGACCACCGACGCATAGCCACAGATGAACTTTCGGAAATATTCTCCTAGTCCTAAAAACTGACGGATTTCCTTAACATTTCTTGGTTCCGGCATGTTCAGAATGGCTTCTATTTTTCTTGTGCCGGGGGTCACGCCCTGGCTGCTTATTTCTCGACCAAGGTATTCGATTTTTGTTTGGATGAAATAGCATTTACTCAACTTCAGCGTCAAGTTGTACTTCTTCAATCTATCTAATACCTTTCACAAACGTTCCATTCCTTTTTCTACAGAAACCGACGGAATTATAATATCGTCTATGTATGAAAAAGCGATCTCATTTCGTAAATTCCCCATAACATTGTTGATGAGTCGTTGGAAAACTGCCGGCGCATTTGTGAGTCCGAAGACCAATCTCAGAAATTCATAATGCCCACCAGGCGTTACAAAGGCCGTTTTATTGATGGAGACTTTGGCCATTGGTACTTGATAGTATCCCGATGCTAGGTCAAGTCCACAAAAGAACATGTTTTTGCCCAGCCTGTCGATCTGGTCTTCTATTAAGGGTAAAAGATACTTATCCTTTACAGTAATAGCGTTCAACTTACGAAAGTCTATACACATTCGATAGTCGTCTGTTTTTTTCGTGACTAATAGCACTGGACTAGCGTACGGTGATTCAGAAGGTCTTATAATCTCATTTTCTAACAGCTCTTCGATCATAGGTTTTAAAATCTGTTTCTCTCCAATTGACAGACGATACGGATGATAAGTAACTGGTTCGTCAGTAATTAACTTTATGTGCATTTCTACTGTGTTGGTTTTACCGATGTCTTTTAGAGTAAACGAAATGCATTTCCTGTATTCACAAAGTAATTGAAACATCCTATGCTTTTCTTGATCAGATACGGTTCCGACTTGAATTTTTTCCAGTTCCAACCTGTCATCCGGACTGAATTCAATGGCGTTTATCAACTCATCGCGTAATTTCAATAATGTATACAATGACACTACGTTTCGAATTTTCTTAAGCCCTGCGTGCGTCTGTCCTAAGTAATCCATTCCAATGATTAAATCCTGCGTCAAAAACTCATCGTCCAAAATGATAGCGTTCGCCGACGCTATCACTCCTTCAATTATAACGGTTGCGGCCGCTGATAAATTAGTAGTAATAGTGCCTCCCATAAAGTTTTTTAAAGAACGTCCCTCTCCGCTTTTAATTTCTAATCCTAATTTTCGGACGACGCTTTCTTTCATTAGCGTACACGCGCTACCTGTATCAATTAAACATTTGATTTTCTGATCCCTGATCTTCGCTGTTTTCATGCACAAAACGTGCTTTGAAGATTTACAACCGATCTCACTTATTGACTCTGCGCTGGCGGTTTGTTTAATTTTTGTCTTACCTTTGTTAGGACATTGGTCTTGAAAATGACCCCGTTTATTGCACAATCGACAAAGAATGCGGGGTTTCTTGCATCTAGCTGCTTTGTGGTTGCCGCCACAATTAAAACGCGCTATACGTTTTTCAGCAAATGTCCATTCCTTAAACCGTTTCTGAATTCCAACTCCATCTTTGGCAATTATAGCAGGAATATGCCCTTTTGATGTTGAAGGGCCAGTGAGACGAACGCCCGCAGTTTGAATGTAACTTAAATAGTTTGCTAATTCGCCAACCGTTTTTAAATTAGCGGCTCTAGTTGTCATAGCTATAGCTTCGTCCGGAATACTTTCAATTACGCTGTCTATTAATTGCTCGGGTGAAATTTTCAAACGTAATCTATTCAATTTAGCAACCTTCTCGTAGCAAAAATCTCCCAAATTTTGACGCGGTGTGGGTTTGTAAAGAGCCGCGTCAATTAAAAGCTTGCCAAATCGTTCTTGTGGGGGAAAATTTTGGCAGCATTTGGTTTTTAAATTTTTTCCATGATACACATAGTGACTTTCATGAATTGTACCTTTTCCGCGCGTTTCCTTTTAATCGGTTCGCAGCAAACTTAACGACCAACACATCGCCCCATTTATGAAACCTTTTCAGTTCGTCTACTTTTCGCACCCAGTCCGACGCGTCAAAAGAGTTCGCACTCGGATCGAACACGGGTAATAGAGTTTCATTCACGGACACACTCGTCGGAAGAACGGAAACAAAAGGAGTACTCACCTTTTGGTTGAGTGCATCTACCTGTTTCCGAAGATCACGAATTATCTTTTTCTGTTTACGAGCTCTTCTATTCCCCTTGGTATCACTGCTCGTAGAAGTCGTAAATGATGTAGCACTTGAGGACAAGGGTGGCCTCTTGCGCGACTTACGTCGCCGTGGTGGAGTTCCCGGTGGTGTGCTCATCGTTCTTATGTGTACAATTATAAGTTCGTCACAAAAGTCACTTCACCGCACTTTGCAAGTATTTTTGTCCATACACTATAAGGGTTTAACAGGGTGATATCCCGTCGCTGTCTTTATGTAAGAAAAATTTAAGATAATGAAAAGTAAAGTATATTTTAAGAGAAGTATTTTAATTCACAAACTGCTGAACAACGCAAGGAACAATATATGAATGCCTATTATATTATTTTCTTACATTCGTTACTCATGGTTTACATATACACTTTTGTCTAAGATAAGCAACGTGTTATTTTATTGTTTAGGCTAGCCTTCGTTATCGGTTTCACATCAGACCGCCATCGACCACGTCACCCTTCTACAGTTGCAACTTTATAACCATGAAATATTTAATTAATTTTGAAATATGCCTTAAAACTGAAAGTCTAAAACGTTTAAATATTTAGTTAGCAAATCCTTTACTAACTTACGCGCAACTACCAGAAGTTTATCTTCCCGGCTAGATTAGCAGTTTTTTTTCTGTATAGGATATTATCGATTGTTACATATTTTTTTATCTTTCTACGTAATGCTGGTGTTCCCTGCTTTGGATTTTCATATACTACTCGTAGTGCACGAATATATGCATCAGTCTGTTGCTAGTTTCTGCATATCATGTTGCAGTATATTGTATACCTTGGCGTCTGTTTTGTTTTTTATATTACACATATATTTCTCTTTATTTACTCTTGGTTACGGTTGAAATGTACCGTTATGAATTTTGCAATTTTTAACTCCTGGATGTTGAACTGGCACTTGTTATGGAAAAAGTAAATTAACATATTTTTAAACTTGTCATCAAAATCCCATAATAAGTTACGGATAGTATTTGAAGTCATTTTGATAGTATAGAACTGTATCACTAATTTTCTTTCGTAACACGTTTTTTTGAGTATTTTCTAAATGTTATTCGACACTAGGTATATGGTGCGATGAGCCACCAGCAATGGGAGAAACTGTGTATGCGTTTCAATCTCCTTTTTAAGGAATTGTCTAATCGTTTTCAGTAATCCTGAATATACTTCGTCGATAAATCTTTGAATGATAGAACGATGTTCACAGTTCTTTCTCCTACAGTATCATTTGTCTTTTTGGCTCTGAAATTATTTAATGTATTCGCTGTCTTATTTAAATCTTTATCGTTTCAAGGCCTTTTACCGGTTTATTCCATGCCGAATGTCTTTTTTTAACTTTTTAATTGCTTATAACGAGTATAGTATGTCTAAAAGTGATCGTCTTCTTACGCCACAGCCGTTTGATTTCAGTATCTTGACAAAGCATCCACACGACCCATTTTACTTTCTGATTTGTACTTAATGGAACAGTCGAATTCTTCCAGGAAGATACTCCATCATAGAAGATGGGATTGTTATTCCCTATGTCTTTAATGAAAGACAAACATTGGTGGTCGATAGTCACTTGTTTACCATGTATATAATCCAAATGTAACCAATTTTCTTTTTCTGAAATCGTGCAATTTTTCTTCTGCTTATTTAATTATTTTGAAGCATTCGTAACGACACCGGTGTGCTCCTCATTTTGCTTCACTTGTATCAACATGGCTAAAATTAAATAATCAAATGCGTCACAGTACAGCAATAGCTCTGAAGTGGGGTCGTAATGCTGCGAAATTGGGGGCAGATAATAGTTTTTCTTTCAGCATCCTGTAGACTGTTTCGTCAATTTCACTAACTTACATACTGTTTTCGTGAGATAGTGAAATATCGGCGAAGGCGAAGAAAATTTTGTAACTCCTCAACAGTTTTTAGTTATAGGAATTCTTGTACAGATTTATATTGTCATTGTTTAGGGATACCCCGTTCTTATTTACCACCAGTACCAATACTTTCACCTTCGGTTTGCAAAGAAACATTTTGTGTTTGAAGTTTTATTTGAGCTAGCCTCAACTTGTGCATCACTTTCTCCAGTCTTGCAATATGTTTCTCGAACGTGTTGAACCATACTACAAAATTGTCAAGATATGCCATAACCTCTTTCTATTTCATGTCGGCAAACAATATATCCATGAGTAGCTGGTACATAATCCCAACACCATATAAGTCAAATGACATTATCATGAACTCGAAGTTAGTGTTAAGTTACTAATTCTGTTTTCTTTCGATCTTCTTCTTATACTATCCAGTATGCGTTGTTCCGATCCAACGTAGAGAAATATTTCGCATTGCTCAAATAGCTTACAATATTTTCCATCAACGGAACGGGATATTTTTCTTTTACCGGTACCTCATTTAATTTTCGGAAATCGATGCACATTTTTAAGGTTCCGTCATTCATTGGGACGAGCACTATGGGAAAGAATACGGACCATACGACAGTCATATTATTTTATTTTTCTCCATTTCGGCAATTCTTTGATTAATTATTTCACATTCTTTCATCGACACCCGATAGGGTCGGAGTTGGATAGGTCTGTCAGTTGTGGTAAGTATTTTGTGCACTGTTAATGTGGTTACACCCAAATAAGTTGCAAAATGTCCTTATACCTACTCTTGGAGTTGTTGCTATGCCGCGAGGTCTTATCCTATGTAGTGTTGCCGTTGTTCTTCCTTCATTAAATATTTCAATTTTCTTCTGCGCTATGATATCTTTGTTTTCATTCGATATTGTCAGATGCCTTCTATTCAAAACTCTACGTTTAATTCTATGCTTCACCTTATTGTGGAGCCTCGTGTAATTGTGATGTGATAATGGTCTAGAGTTACTTTATACAGAATGTCATCCTTTTTTATGTTCTCTTTACCGAAAGTTCTTTCCATTTAAATTACTTTTTCTTGTATGATTGCAGTTTCTTCTGCTAAGGTAATTACCGCAGCGGACTAGACTATTTACATACCCATATTGTAACTTCCTCAACCATGTTAATGAAATGACGGTTCTGAACTTTATTTGCAAAAGTGATGCCTTTATCCTTGTAGCGTATTACCGCAGAGTATACTGTCAGGAAGTTATTACCCAATAATACTAAATGACAGATTTTGTTCCCACTGCCGAAACTCTATTGTTACCTATTGTTATCAACAGTAAGGAGTGCTCCTGCTTATTGTTATCGTTCCCGTGTCTATTATTTATTACACAGTGAAACATTAGTATTTTAGTAGGTGAAGTACTGTTGAAGACGACGTTTTAGCCCGTAAACATCGCCTTTAAAGATTTTTCGGCTGCCTTTTATTTACCTGTGTATTTTTATTGAAGCTTTGTCCGGTCCAATTGTCTTGCATTCTGCAATGTGTGCAATATGTTTATTGTAGACACGGTAATATAAGCCGTTTTCTAAGCTGACAACATTCTGTTTATACTGCCGGCTATTACTTCTCTGCTGTCGTTGACTCTGCACTACCGGATTAGCTTCTTTCGTTTGGGTTTATAGATGTTTGAGTATTGCTTTTTCTCTCGTTACGTCACTTCCACCCTCAGAACTTCCACTGATCCACTTGAAGTTTATTCCGTTGGAGAAAAGTAGTTAACCGATTGAGACGCTTCTTCTTCGGCTGCTGCTACCCTTTCCATTAAGTTACGTAATTCCTCTATCCGTTGTTGTTGGTCCAAAGCTACCTCTGTAATTTTGTAAAATTTTCCTTTTTCATGTAATACGCAGCATCCCTTGTTTTATCGCACAATTTCAGCATTTCATAATGGTAGTGTAGTAAGCGTTTATTGTTTTCTGCTGAGGAGCTCTTGTTTTACCTTTTCGCTGTACGCGTGTCTTCCGAATATTCTCGTGAAATCGTCCTGTAGAGTAGCCCAAGTTCCATTAGCGTTCCGGTTTACAAACGTTTGATACCAGGCTGTCGCGGCTCCCACTAGATAACTTGAAAGGTTGCTTATCTTTAGATCAACGTCCCAGCCGTTCAGCAATCCTGCATCCTCGAATATTTCTATAAAGTTGACCGCATCCAACGCCAAGGGGTTGAAAGTAAGAGGATCCAGATACTTATGCTTTAGAGAGTCTAATATTTCGTTAAACGTCCTTGATTGTGTAATGGTGGTTTTTGAGTTTTTCCCCACATTACGTTCAGTCACCTGTGATTGTAATTGTCCTAATTGTTGCGTAAGAGCCTGGATTTGGAATCGTCAATAATCATTAAATTCGGCCATTGTTTCCCTTTCCCGTGCTGAATGCTGCTTCTCTTCAATGTCCACAGCTTATGCTCCCAAAAATACCTCCTGGTCGAATACGGGGTTCTGAAATGTATTTGTCGTTGGACCAATTGGCGATAGGCGGAGCAAATCACTCCTCTGGAACGGAGTGTCAACTAAATTCAACAGAATTGAGATACTCTGCGCACTTGGCATGAATTCGTGGCCCTCCTCTTTTTCCTGTAGTTTTCCTCTTCTGACCTCTTCTAATTTTTGTTGTACATGTTTCGGGAAGAGTAGGTAGGAATAATGTAAGCACGTTTAGATGTTGACTGCCCGGAGGCCGGTACTGTAGTATCCCCCCAAGTGCTCACCAGCTCGCCGTTAGTCAGCGACCCCTCAGCTCGTTGCTGATGGGCTGCTGCCCATAGAACATAGAACTCTACTGGCCAATGGCAATCACTTCCAGAATAGTACAGTTATTGTTGGTTTGCTAGTCGTGCCAGTGTAACACGATTACCCTTGATTATTACAAACATCTACATCATACAAGTAAGTTATCGTCAAAGAAATAAAATGCTTGTCTAATAATGTACGTTGACTCCCGAGCGCTCCTCAAGGTTAACCAAGTAGCTCCTCATTGATCCTGCGAGTGCGAGTGAGATGATTCATTCCTTTTCTTATCCCTTCCATTTCGGAGGTGAGCCCCTCTTCCATAGCCAAACCCAATAGTACTGCGAACGTAATAACGAAAATTTAAGTATTAGTACTAGGTATTATTTAAGTTGCGAGAGTGGCTTCGCTCGTCTACGGGATGAAGGGGCTTGATATGGGAGTGGAAGGGAGAAGAAAAAGACAAAACAAAATTATTCATTACTGCTTACTCTCTCGTACTAATTGAAGAGTATGGAGTGACTCAAACTAACCTCATGTAGCGGCGCCTGCGAAGTTAAAGTTTGCCCGGCTCTGTTGTATGTGATTCCGGTTGTGTGGCATTAACTGATGATATATAATACCTGTTTGCTCAGTTCAATTGCAAAATACTAGTATAAAATAAACTTCTGTTTTCTCTCTTATATTACATTATTAGCACAACTATCGTTAAATTAATTTATGAAAGACTTAAACTAATGACAAATGGTTAACAGTCAGTAAATATAAAAAAATTATCAGGTAGGAGACAAGAGCCACTTCGGAAAATTAAGTGTAATAGTCGTTCCTTTACTCAGGATAGGTCAGATGACCAACAGTAGACAATCCTCCATCGACGTTTGCAAATGGACATCCCTTAGCGGTCAAAATTGTGGTACAACAAAAGAAAGAGATGAAAAGAAGAAGAAAAAAGCATCCTAACACAGTTTGAAAGCTCGTTCGACGATAAACCTGGAAAACTCATATGGCCTCCTGTCAAACTGCACTTTAAACCCGGATACAAACCCGTCTTTTCCAGAGCTCGAGATATTCCCTTCGCTTTGCGTGATGCATATGCACGCGAAATTGACGCCAAGCTGAATTCAGGCGTGTACAAACGGGTCGAATACTCGGAGTGGGCTTCGACGACCCATGTTGTGGCAAAAAGGAACGGGAAATTACGTATCACGGGAAACTATGAACCTACACTAAATCCTCAGCTGATCGTAGACAAACATCAAATCCCACGAGTGGAGTGCATCTTTAACAAGATGCGAGGCGCGAAGTGGTTCTGTCATCTTGACATCACGGATGCCTATACGCATCTTACAATCGACGACGAATGTACTCACACGATGACTCTCAACACGCCTACTCATGGCCTAATCCGACCGACACGCGCGATCTACGGAGCAGCAAACATCCATGCAGTGTGGCAACGTCGAATGGAAGAAGTGCTGCGTGATCTGCCCTGCGTCGTCAATTTTTTCGATGATACCATCGTCTTCGCAGACTCGTTCGAGAACTTGCTCCGGGCCCTGTGTGCCGTGCTGGAAAGGATGCGTCATCATGGGCTGAAACTCAACAGAGCCAAATGTAAATTTGCAGAAACTACACTCCACTGCCTGGGTCACAAACTTGATGCACAGGGAATCCACAAATCCGACTGCCACATCGAAGCTATCCGCGATGCACCAAAGCCTTCAACACCGGAGGAACTTTTTCTGGGAAAGGCTACGTATTACAGCGCATTCATCCCGGATTTGTCAACGCGAGATCGGCCTTTGCGTGACATGCTTCGTAGCGAACCGTTTACCTGGACTCCAGCTGGCGAAAAAGCATACGTCGACATCAAAGAAACTTTGGTATCACCCCAGGTTCTCATGCAATACGACCCCTCGCTACCGCTATTGCTGGCGACTGATGCCAGCAAAACCGGGTTGGGAGCTGTGCTGTCGCACCGCCTGAGCAACAATCAGGAACGACCAATCGCCTATGCAAGCCGAACGATGAGCGCCACAGAGCAACGATACCCTCAAATTGATAAGGAGGCGCTCGCGATTGTGTGGGCTGTGAACAAGTTTTTCGTCTATCTCTACGCACGTCATTTCGTTCTCATCACGGACCACAAACCGCTAACACAAATCCTGCATCCAGAAAAATCACTGCCGGTGCTGTGCATTAGTCGGATGGCAAACTACGCGGATTACTTGGCTCATTTTGACTTCGAGGTGGTTTTCAAAGACTCGAAGGCAAACGCCAACGCAGACTACTGTTCCAGGGCGCCGTTACCAACCACGGTCAACCAAGTTTGTCTTCAGTCATTGGTAGAGGGGGAAGAAGCAGGAACGGACGAATTTGACCACTTTGTACTCCACCAAATCAAACAATTACCAATTCGAGCAGAAGCCATCGCCAGGGCAACGAGGAAAGATGAGTACCTTGGCAACATTCTGAAGCTTTTGGAATCAGGTCAAGACCTCCTTCGTCACGGCTTCAAGTCACCTGAAGCCAACTACACCGCGGCCGCTAATTATTTGTTGTTTGAACACAGAGTTGTGATTCCACCTTCACTCAGAAACGCCATTCTTCAGGATTTGCACGCCGCTCACATCGGAATCGTCAAAATGAAAGGGCTGGCCCGCTCGTTTGTTTTCTGGCCTGGCATCGATGCTGCAATTGAGCATGTCGCCAAATCTTGCACTGAATGTGCAAAGCATGCACACGCCCCCGTCCAATTCCGAGAGCACCACTGGGAGTACCCTACAGCTCCATGGCAGAGAATCCACATTGATTGAAACATGTTGCTCATTATCGTGGACGCATATAGCAAGTGGTTGGAAGTCAGAGTAACCAAGTCCACGACATCAGCTGCTACGAGCCGAATCCTCGACAACCTTTTTGCAACGTTTGGGGCACCAGTCATCCTGGTTTCGGACAATGCTCCTCAATTTACATCCACAGAGTTCAAAAACTTTTTGATGATGTCTGGCGTGAAGTACCATAAGCTCACAACTCCTTACCATCCCTCGACAAACGGCTAAGCTGAAAGATGCGTACAGACGGTCAAGGACGCCCTGCGCGCGATGTTAACAACCGAGAGCACTCTTTAAAGCAACCACCGGTGCATCCCCTGCTCAGCTTTTCATTGGGCGTGATCTGCGCGCAAGACTCAACCTTGTTCTCCCAGATGATTTACACACCAAGATTTCTGAGAAACAGAAGGCCAGTTTTGATGCAACCTACCGTAAATTTCATCAGGGGGACTTGGTGTATTTTCTTTCAGAAAATCCGCGCATGGACAAATGGATTGTTGGAGAAGTCGTGTCCTGCTTGGGAGATTTGCACTACGAAATTGAATTTCACGGCAAACGGTTCAAGAGGCACATTGATCAGATTCGCAGTCATGAGCATTCATCAGATCAGGGAAACACAATGCGAGCAGCAGAACCTGATCGTGTCGTTGGCGACAGAATCAATTGCGGTGCACCACGCAGGACACGTTTCTACGGCCAAGCCCAAGCTCAGCCAGAGCAGCCACAAACATCAAGACGAACTCCAGCACTTCCGGCTACACCTGTAGCATCTCCGGTTCCTGCGATCCCTGCACCTGCAATGCCGTCCACCCCAAGGATTCTACGCAGATCTCAACGAGAGCGCCGTGCTCCACTTCGGTTCTCTCCGGAGTGACGTAAATGGTAGAAAAGAAGAGACAAGATGGGAAGGTGTTTTAACGTTCTTTTTATTTTTTATTTTTTTTCTTTCTTTCTTTTTCTTTTAACAATCAAAGTTTTAATAGTTAATTAAAGAAGGGAGGAAATGTTGTGTATTGGTCTTAAGGTTGCAAATTGGCAACAGAGCCATCTGGCTGACTCAATCGGGAATAGTCAGTCTTTGTCCGATCAAACTCGAGTCAACATTGTACCTCTCACATTATAAATACACAATTGTGTTCAGATCAAACATTTGTGTTATTCAATACCAGTGTTAACCCACAAATACAAAAAGAAGAAGACATCCTGGAAACAGCAATAACAACATCGTTTGGTTTTGTTTTCTTAGCAAAATATTACACGTCCGTAACTCCTGTTTCGTTTACATCGATGATATACTGGTAGCATCAAAAAATTCAGAATAGCACCAACAACATTTACACACTTTATTTATTCGCCCACATCATTCAATGTACTACTTAATAAGGCGAAATGCAGATTTGGTGAAAAATAGGTCTCTTTTCTAGGCTACTCTATTTCAGCAAATAGTATTCGCCCTTTATCTAACAGAGTGACGGCAATTATAAATTTTCCTAAACTAAGTACCGCAAAACAACTGCGAAGATTTCTGGGTATGCTTAACTTCTATGAAAAATTTCTGCCCATCTTAACATCCGAATATAAAAGACAAAACACCACAGTCGACGAACCATTCAAATCAAAGAAAAAGCAACTGGCGCAAACTATTCTCCTTCACCATCCACAACAGAATGTTACCTTAGCAATTTTTCGTGACGCTTCAGACATGAATGTAATAGATAACGACATTAATGTCTGATAGAAGAACACATGCGGAATTTATTATTTCAAGTTCTGTTGGTGCAGGTAGTAGGAAGGTTGGACAAATTTAAGTTATCCTCATCACCTGAATCTTCATCAGTGATATTTCCATTTGCATTTTCTGAAAGGTGAAGAGTGATATTAACTTCACCGAAAGTTTCGTCAGCATTATCGATCTTAAGGATGGCGATAATCTGATGCAACAAAATATCACTAAAAATGGAAATGAGTTGTTCACATTCCCAAAGTCCTTCACAAAGAACAGTCATGTTTATAACATCACGGGCATTATAAAAAGAAAGGAAAAATTAATATATCATTTTCCACCCTTACCAACATATTTTTTTAAAAAAATCATGAAAACACTGTTATGAAAGCGATGAAGGTAATTCCACCATATCGGACGACCATTGTAGTTGTTACAGTCCCGAGCAAATGACAGTCCTACCACATTCTCAACATTTTTGATTCCGTTCTTCCGTGTTTCTGGCAGTGGCTTTCGTCACATCGATTATGCATTTCCTGATGAGCGACAAGATACTTTCTTTTGTAATTTGCTGTTTGTAGCACCCGTACATGATCGTTGGAGGCTTGTTTCGCCGCTTCAAATTCCAGGGCGTGTGGCGGCTCTTCCCTTGGAGTCTTGTGGCGTGCTAATATAAAGACTTGCTGTAGTTCACCGTTCCTGATTCCATCTATAAATGTTTGTACTGCCTGTTGACTCTTGAGGGCAGAGGGGAGACTAATCTTACGATTTTTCAGTTGAGTCTGATTTACCTGTTGTAGATGTTTATCGTCGTATCTCATTTCTAAGTGGCTGACAAGATGGTGTTGTGTTGATACTTGGGCATTTCTTGGGGTATATTTAGCGCCTCTTCTTGTAAAGGAATCATTAGTGTTACAATGCGATCTAAAAATTACGATTCATTACAAAGGGATTTTTACATTTTACTGTCTCAATCTTTTTAGTACATTCCTGACGTTGATCAGGTCTGATAATATTCTGTTTTAATAATTTTGAAATTTTATTAATTACTTCTTATGGCAATTTGAAAAATAGTAGATATGTTTTGCTTGTATGTGATTATCGTGAGCAATTTTTATTTGATGGTTAGTGGAGATTGAACCCATACAGTCAGCATTTAAACCTGAAACTGTGACTGTACGATTTTCTTTTGCACCGTTCTACCACTTTTTATCTACTTTGAGACGTTTGTTTTTTGTAAGAAAAACACTTCGTAGAATTTAATTAATATTTTAATTTTAAATATATACACAGCTTAAAATTAGGGTGATAATGAAGAAATTATTATGACTATTAAACTATTTTTGCTAGTTATTCGAGAAACTGATGACTAAAACCACTAAAAACTGAGTGATGACTGATACAACTTTTCTTAAAATTATCTTACTGCTATGGTACAAATTAAACGACACCGGAGGAGTGCAAACGCCATAACTACGGGTAACAACATAATTGGGATTGTTGAACTTCCCTTGGTCGGATAGCTACGTGACCAAACTATGGTATACAAAATGTTGTAGGTACCCAAATAAATAAATAAATTTTATAACCGAGGCAAAATTTCTCTTAACTCCCGTTTCTGCCTCTAATATGTCTCTGACTAGACCTTCATGCCTGAGAAGGTGTCCTACTAATCTATATCGCCTATTTCTTGTTGACTTCCATAGAGTCCCCTGTTCTCCTATTCTTTCTGATACCTCTTCATTTCTAACCTTCTCTATCTACGGCATCCTCATCATTCGCCTATAACACCACATTTCGAATGGTTCTAACCTTTTCTTTTCCGCCGCACCTACTGTCCATGTTTCGCATCCGTACAGCGCCGCACTCCAAACACACCTTTAACAACCTTTTTCGAATTTCTAAATTAACCATTCGCGAGCATAGAAATAACTACTACCCCTTCCGTCCTAACTTATTTGACTTCCTAGATACCTAAAAACAGCCACTTCTTCTAATTTTTCGTCTTCTATCTTTATATTCGCTCTTTTCCTACTTTTTCTTCCCTTGCATACCAGTATTTTTGCTTTAGTTTTATTTATTTTCCTACAATACCGCTTCCATTTTATTTAAAGCTAAGTCTAAGTCCTCCTTGCTAGATGCTAATACTGCTATATCATCTGCAAATCTAAGCATACTAATCTTTTGCCCCTGTATATCTATCCCTACAGTTGTTCTGCTTTTAATGATGTTAATCGCCTCTTCGATGTATAGTTTAAAAAGTAGCGGTGACAGTGTGCGACCCTGTATGACTCCCTTCCTAATATTTACTTCTTTACGTTGCAGCACCATCTGTATAACTTTTTAAGTATATTTAACATTGTCTCATTTAACATTGTCAAAAGCTTTTTCTTAATCTACAAATCCTTTGTACGCACTCTTTTCTTTTTCTATCGGTTTTTCTATTATTACCCGTAAAGCTAGAATGACCTCCCACGGTCCTCCATTTCTTCTAAACCCAAATTGATCTTCCCCTAATAGTTCTTCCGTTTTTTTTTCTATCCTCCACTGTACAATTCTAGTTAAGATTTTTGACGCATGTGAAGTTAAGCTAATTGTTCTAAATGCCTCGCATCCGCACCTCTCTTTTTAGGTATGGTTACTACCACGTTGCGTTTATAATCCTCTGGGTCTTTCCCCGTCTCGTAAATGTGACTAACTAGCTTAAACATACGAACTCTAACCTCTTGTCCTGCATGTTTTGGAATTTTCCCCTGTATCTCATCTACACCTCGCGCCTTATTATTCTTTAAGATTTTTAATGCTACATCGAACTTTACTCTTATTATGGGATAACCTAACTCATTTATCTCCACATTATCTTTCTTCTCTAATATATCTCCTAACTCATGGCCTGTGTATAGGTTCTCTAAATATTCTATCCACCTATCTGCCATTTCCTCATTTTCTATCAAAATGACCCCTGTCTCGTTTCTTATATTGTGGCTGACAGTACAAAAGAGTATAAGGGAGGTTCGGACTTACTAAATAATATTGTTTATTTTATTTTTTTGTTTTTTTTTGCGGATGTACGTGCTCATGTGCTCCTATGGAAGAACCGCTACTGGTATTACTACATGTTATTCCTTTTTCTTTATTAGTGTCTCCTACCGGTCATCTCTTTTCTATGTTTACTATATTCCCTACAACGTCTCTGGTAAGTAGCGTAGGCGTTTTATCAGCAACCGCTCGTCTAGTTAGGGGTTCGAAGGAAAATTAGTTTTTATTTTACAAATCTATATTTAATAAAAACACCTTGTTTTTTTTGATGCTGTATATAATACAAAGATCAATCAAGACAAGATATGGGCAATAGGAGGTGTCCGAATTACATCGTACCATAGTTTAGGTAGTAGTTGTATTTTTTACTGACAGATCAGTACTGTATGAAAATAAATAAAAGTAAAACTAAAATACTGATATGCAAGGGAAGAAAAAGTAGGGAAAGAGCGAATATAAAGATAGGAGACGAAAAATTAGAAGAAGTGGCTGATTTTAGATACCTAGGAAGTCAGATAAGTGAGGATGGAAGGAGTAGTAGGGATATAAAGCAGAGGATAGCGCAGGGCCGTGTCGCCTTTAATAAAAAGAAGTCACTTCTATGCTCGCGAACGGTTAATTTAGAAATTCGAAAAAGGTTGTTAAAGGTGTATGTTTGGAGCACGGCGTTGTACGGGTGCGAAACATGGACAGTGGGAGCGGCGGAAAAGAAAAGGTTAGAAGCGTTCGAAATGTGGTGTTATAGGCGGATGATGAGGATATCGTGGGTAGAAAAGGTTAGAAATGAAGAGGTATTGGAAAGAATAGGAGAACAGAGGACTCTATGGAAGTCAATAAAAAATAGGCGAGATAGGTTGGTAGGACACCTTCTCAGGCATGAAGGTCTAGTCAGAGACATATTAGAGGCAGAAACAGGAGTTAGGAGGGGTAGAGGTAGACCTAGATTAAATTACTGTTCGCAAATAGTTAAGGATGTGGACTGTTCTAGTTTTAAGGAAATGCGAAGTTTAGATCAGGATAGGAAAGAGTGGAGGTACGTGTCCAACCAGTCTTAGGACTGATGACCTTATGATGATGATGATGATGAAAAGAAATTTTAACCATTGCATTAATTTCTTTGTTTAATTGAGTCCTCAAAAATATTTTGTTTTGTGCCCCTAATTGTTAAACTACGCCACTGAATCTAGTTAAATTGATACAAATAACATATCTTAGGCAAACAAGAAATCTACCATAATGGTACTATCATTATAACTGTAGATAGCGCAGTGTTCTCCTTAATTTCATTTTAACATATTTAACAACAAATATTTCATTTCATAAAAAGTCGCATGCACTCCATGCGTTAATGTTTATTATATACAGGGAATATTTCAGTAAATGAATTAATAATTGGATGCATGTCATAGACTGTCAGTCAAAAACTTACAAAGGCCAGCAGTAGGACCATAGACCTATATTAATGGACGTCTCTTAGCCGTATGTCGTATAATAATTTCTTGGCTCAAAAAGTGAGGGAGATGGCATATGGTTTCGGACTAATGCTATCTCTTTCATGACACGCTACGCACTATCGTGAGAGAGATGGATATTGTCCGAAACCTCATTCCATCTCTTTCTTTTGTTGTACTCCAATTGTGACCGCTATGGCATGTCCATTACTAAACGTCGATGGGTAGGACTGTGATATTTCTATGGACGGCGATCGTTGATGTAGAATACAGGGCGTTTCTAAAATAAGTAGCAAGGCTGCAGGAAGTGATAGAGCACTACGAAACAACAAAATTGAGTAAATGTTTGGTGGTCCGAAGGCCACCATTTTCGAGAAAAACGTATCTGAAAATACGGGCAACGGTTATTTGTTATATTAGATTAAGTGTGATTGATAATATTTATGTTATATCTACAATAGCTCTTTGTTTTTTTAATGTTGTAAACGTTTATGTATATATTCAGTCGAATTAGTAGTAGGTCAACATGCCATTGTCATAAATCGATAACAACCTCAAGGGTGGTGTGGAAATTTGCCTTACAATTAATAAAATTACAGTTACCTATCCATAGGGTATTAATTAACCTACTGATGTTTACATAACGTTAATTTTATTTTTCTTCGGTGTTCTTAATACCATGTTGAGGAATAGGTACTTAAAATCATCGACGTTTACTAATGGACGTGCCTTAGCGGCCAGAATTGTGGTACAACAAAAAAAAATTAATGGAAGGAAGTTTCAAACAATATCAATCTCTCTCACGACAGTGCCGTTATTAGGACGCCCTGCACCCATACTTCAGAGAAGCCAATCGCGTGTAATGAAAGAAATAGCACTACTCCGAAACCGTACGCCATCTCCCTCATTCTTTTTGAGCCAAGAAATTATTACATCGGCATACGGCTAAGGTACGTCCATTATATATATGTCTATGCTTTAAATAATGCTGCAAATTATCAGCAATTTTTTTTGTTCCTTAATCATGCTTTTTTACTTACCGTCCGATTCCCTATTGCATCTAGTTGACACTCTCCAAAGCGTGCCGCGTATTTCAGACACACCCTGTATACAAACGGCAGCTGGCATCCATGACAGCTGTATTCATTGGTCCGTCTCGCCTGTCTGTTCTCGCCCATAGATTGCTCTCGCCGTTCTCGCTGTCAGAAACGGAGGTATACGCCGTGTTAGTATAGAATTGTTTTGAATTGTAATTACTAATGTCCGATCGAACACAATAATTACCGATGCTTTTCGAAAATTATACGAATTGTCATGTGACGTGTATTAATTATTAAATTTTATTAATAGTTAAAGACTTTCTGACGATGGCTTTAGGAAACGGTAGTGCAACCGCTAATGGTGGAGTAACTCAAGAAAAAGCTCCTGTAGTTAATGGCACTAACATGGAAACGCTTCCCAGAACCAGCAAGCAGGTAAACATCAAAATATGCTGCTTCTGTATTTTATAATGGATTTATTTTAAAATTAAAAATACAATTTATGTTTAACTGTAGTTACCAGCTTTTAAATGTTTATATTGCATTTTCATGACCGATTTAATTTCGGCGATATTAACTTTGCAATACTAGCATTTTTAAAATTTATATTATTTACTTTTACTTTTATGTACCATTAAACATAGGTAGGTACTAGGTATTTCTTTTTGTCCTTGACACCGAAATATTTATAAACACCGAGATGTGTTTATATTTATTTATGTTATTGCAGCAACTAATTTTTGTATTTTTTTCATAACAGGTAATATTTACAACTGAACAAAATACACTTAGACCTTTCAAAAATTTCATGAAAACTACATATTTTTATCAAAAAAACGGATTGCATATGTAGGCAATCGTGCTGCCATATAATTTGTTTATAGATAATGTAAAAAAATTCATTACTAGATAGCAGGTAGGCATCTTTTTTGTTTTATAAACTGAAAAAGCGTAGGCTAGCTAATAGGTATAATTTTGATAATGTTAATGTTACTAATGTTAATGAATTACCTATAATTAAAAAGATCTACCTAGACTTATAGCGGACATCACATTTTTTATGACATCATCTTTTCTAATTTCGAAATTTTAATTATCTGTGCATTAATTAGGTAGTTAAGTACCTACTTATTAAAAAGAATAGTGTGAATAAAAGGTGGTTTTATTTTTTTGTATTTACGTAGATAGGTACCTATATCACAGTGTAGATAATTTTAATGTTATTTTTATTTTTATTAATATGTATACCTATGGTAATTAAGCGTAATGGGAAATTAAAAAACTTAATATGAGTTTATCAGTCTGCAAATAACCTATTTGAATAAATGAATACTTATGTAGGTTATGAACAAGACGAATACTGCTAAAGAAATTAGAACATTAGGTCATCCCCATACATATGTTCTTGTGTTCTTCCCCGTTGTCGTTATTTTTTCTGTCATGTTAACTTTTCTTTCACTAATTGTAAAATTTATTTTCTCATGACATTAAAAAAAGCGTTATGCTTTATACTATCTACAATTTCAGTACATAAGTCAAGTAAAGGTATTAACATTGATCGTCACGCTTCATGGACACTGCGGTCTTTGTGAAATTATCCGTTTCAGTGACTGGTTATAAGAAAGTAGCCTAATAACGGCAAGTTCATTTTTTTTAACGGTAATCTATATCTTCAATTAATAGGGTATATCATACGTTGTACAGGTACTTAGATACAAGTAAACAATCTTTTTCTGAAAAAATGTTAGCTGACATTTCTGGAAGTAAAATTATTGGGTATTTAATACACTAGAGATTAGACAGTAGGTAGAAACTAAACCTAATTTTAAGCCAACATAAGAATAATATTAATAAAAATTGTATGAAAAGGCTAGTATAGAAACAGGTCCTAAGACTCACCAAACATAAACAATGAATGAGTATTAATTATTAGTATGTTACTTAAATAAATTTTCATTCATTTAATTAAGTTCAGATTGAAATAACTTGAAGATTTTTACATTATCGTTGGTCAAATTATTTTTCCTCTGTTATTTTTTGGTAACTTTTCTTGTTCCAAAAAAATGCTGTCCGAATTTTCATAATAATGAAACATTCATTTCGCTTTCCATCAAACTTTTACATTTAAAGTACCTAAAGCTAGTGGTTAGTCAGGAATTAAATTAACTTGAATTTTTCAAAATTCGATCACCATAAGATTGAAACATAAATTCAAAGTGTGTACAAAATAGAAATAATAGAGATTTGGCTAAGGATGTACTGGATGATTTCTACAAATCATGAAAATAACGGATTTTAGACGTTATCTTAGAAGGTACCTACCCTCAGCAAAATAAAACTCAAATAGTTTGGTGTCAAATAAAAATGTTTTAAATACTTATTTATCTGTTACATGCATTTTATAGTTTTGTGGCAACCTTAAAAATATAAATTCATAAGTATGTGATACATCGAGTGAAAGCAGGCTACTTATTACAGTTGCAGTTTTTAGTTGCTCACCGGTTTGCGTATTGTACTTGCGTCAACGTTACCGAACGAGTCATAAATGAAGCTACGCGATTGATGACATAAGTTTTCTCCTAATTAACGCTTCTTAATTCATCATGGTTTACCCGCGTTACTTGAAAGATAGATTGGTTGATATACCTATCTTGCCTTGTTACAACAGGCTATTATTTATTTGTTTGATTGTTTATGCAAATGAAAAAAATTACGGACATTTTTGAGAAAGACAAAACTAGTTATTAAATAAAAGATACAAATAAAAGGAAATACGTACATGACAATGACAACACTCAGTAATGATCCTAATTTAATTGTTACAATGTTTTTTTTATAAATTACTTAAAATTCGAATGATTCATAAATTTTCATTTCAGTGAGGAATTATTTTATTAGAATCCAGATGGGTCGAATTAGTTTGTTTAATGGTAATTCTTTGAAAAAATTGATTTCATTTGTGTAGCTTCTCACATTCATTACTCCTTAATTGAAGTGGGTAGTTGTTATGAGGTATCAGTTGCATAGGGTAGTTGTTATGAGGTATCAGTTGCATAGTCGCAATTGCCCAATAAGAATACAGACTATATCCACATCATCCAATTAAAATCTCTTTCTTTTTCTTTTGACGGGTGGATTACTATATAAGCACTAGCATATTTTAATTTAAACAAAAATCATTTCACTTCTACCTTCATTGTAAAATAATGTCTGGACCAAACGATATAACTCTGAAATTGTATGTGTAAAATTATCTTAAATAGCTCAGTGAACAATGCCAAAATCTTTTGCATGATCTCAACTTTTATCCATCCTTTCAGGTATGATATTTTACGCATGAGTGTTGTCTTGTTAAATAAATATTACTTGAAATAGTGAGACCTCAGTATAAATAGCGATTTTTCTCATTACTACCAAGGATAATTCAGAAATGTAGCCTACGTTTGTTATGCTTGCAATAACCAATCAGAATAAACTTAAGCAGATAAACAAAACTGACTGTACTATATGTAAATTGTCTGTAGGAAAGAAAGTGCTTCTTAATTACAAACCAAAATCAATTTTGTAATGAATCAAATTGCGGACTTTTTCTAAAGCACGTAATTGTTTTTTTAATTTCGTTAGTCATGCTCTAAACAAAACGCTTTAAACTGTATTTAAAAATCAATTGCACTTAATGCTGTTTTCACGATAACTTGGGCATTCGATTCCGTTACAATTTTAGAGGTTGCAATAGTTGTTTTCGTTAAAAGGCACGATTGTCGTACAACGGTTTTTATGCTGCGTGAGTATGGTTTATGTGATTTGAATACAGAGGGATCCATCTACTAGTATTATTCTCAGCATACTTATTGTTAATAGTATAGTTTCACAGTATTAATATACCCAGGTGGAATTGTAAGCACATACCTCTCAGTATGTGCAACTATTGTAGTACTTAAGTTCCGATTGCTGAAAATCAATGTGTTCTTGTTTAATTTATCGGCTCAAGAATATTACAATTTGTAAAAAAGAAGTGCATGTTTTAAATTGATAATTAATTTTAAAAGTAATAAACGTAGAAACATCTAACTTTACTTTTGTAGTGCTTTCAACAGTCTATAATATTACACAAATATGCCGCTACGAAATACTACTCTATACCAACAGGATTCGTTTTAGGGCTTTTAATATGCTTAGAAGAAGATGACCACACTATATATAATGCGGAGTAACAAGACAGTAATAAATAATGTATAGTAAACTTACTCGATAGCTGTAGCTGAAGAACTGTCTAGATAGGATTTTTTTTTGTTTTCGTGGAAGAGGAGAAATCTTCAAAAGACACCTAGCCGTCCGTACGACTGTGTAGTGTCAGATTCCCGAGGAAGGTGTCAGTGTCAGTTTTAATCTATTTATATATGATTAAGAAGCCACTGAATCTTCAGCGGATGGTGGTGTATTGACGGAAGAATGTTGTCGAGTAGAAATGATGGATTTTATATTCTTGATTGTTTTCATTGTTCATTATTATTTATAGTTTTAGTACATCAGAGGAAAGGATATTCTTCCGAACGATGATGTAACATTCGTGGTTCGAAAATTACACTTGCACTCGAGCGATCGTCGTTGCATTGACATTAATGATTCGGCATCCTAGACATAACGAAGGCGTTTTGTTTGGAAGTTCCTTATGATTAGATTTGCTACTATTAATATCAACGTTCAAGATTTTGATATTAATTTACAATATTTAATATTCCGACATATGTGTATATTTCTTTAATTTCATTCATATTTAACATTAATTATTAAATTTTATGATTATGCATGATTGTGCCAATGAAAGGAATGAAAACAGTCTTTTAATTTATGTATATTCTTATCTTTCACGTCTATTAATTTCAATGGCAGCAGCAGCAGCTGCACAGCACCAAATGTGAGTGAGTCAATATAGAGCGTACATACACATAAATACATTTATAATTCAGAACTGCTCGTCGCTCGAACTCGGTTAAAAAAGCAACGGACTCCTTGCTCATCATTCAATTGATATTCGCAATAACAACACAGCAAATAGTTCGAATGATTTCGTAAGCACTAGAAATATCTCGAATGATTTCAACAATCGAATAATCGGTTATTTTTCATTTAAATGATACTATATCTAGTAAAATTTCTGCTCAATTTTGAATTGCAATTTATGTGTACGCAACGCCATTTAGTGTGATATATGTAATGATCAGATAGTCAATGGAATTGAACTCAGGGACTCTCCCGCGAGGAAATGTCCCGGAGTGGAGCAATGGATGCCATCGATTGTATCAGCTAATGGTTCGATAAGCTTGAATTTAAGACCGCCTCTATATGACATAAAAGTGTAGTGGGTTCCTCATAACTAAGAGTTTGATTAAAAAGTATGGATTTTCGGTGAGTTTTGACGCTTTTCTTCTCAG